AACTGCAGGATTTCACGAAGATTGCTGAGCCACTGCGTGAACTGACAAACGAGAAAAGGTATTTGTTTGGGTCATCCCGAACAAAAGGCATTTGACGAGATAAAAGGCCGCATTGCTTACACACCACTCATGGCGATTTTCGATGAGATGTTCCCAACTATTGTCTCTACTGATGCATCAAACATTGGGTTGGGTGCTATACTATCCCAAATTCAAAATAGGCATGAAAGAATTATTGCGTACGCTTCTGGAAAATTGTCGGCGGCAGAGCTTTCTTACGCTGCCGGGGAAAAAGGAGCTATTGCCTGCGTTTTGGCCCGTGAGAAGTGGAATGCGTTCTTGTTCAGAAGACCCTTCACTCTTCGTACAGACCACGCAGCGCTAACTAGCTTACTTACTCGGGAAACAAATGGCATCAGGCCACTTCGGATGCATCGCTAGTTTTTACGATTGTTAAGGTACGATTTTCAAATTAAATTCCGTCCCGGACGCGAAAATCAGGTAGCGGATGGACTATCTCGACTGCCACTCAAGGAAACTGCAAAAAATGAGGATGATACTGAGAGGTTACTGGTGTCTTCCTTGAGTAAGGTACCAATCTCATCCCTGACTAAGGAAGAACTCCAGAAGGCGACTCAGGAAGAGGAGACACTCTTCCGCGTTCAGGGGTTTTTGCTAAACGGTTGGCCACAAAATAATAAGAACAAAGGCGAGTTTCGTCCGTACTACGGGTTGCGTCACGAACTTTCCTTTACAGATGGATGTTTAATGCGCAGCGAAAATTTTGTGGCTTCTCGTAGCTTGATGCAAAAGTTCATGCTATGTGCTCACAAAAGCCACCCTGGTATCGTTTATACGATACGAAAGGTTGGTGCATGTTTTTGCTGGCCCAGAATGTCACACGAAATAAAAAAGTTGTTCATGGCCGCTCTTCATGTCAAAGGGCAGCCAGGAGTTCAAGGCCAGTGTCATCCCCTATAAAACCAGTTGACTATCCTTTGCGACCGTGGGACAAGATAACTCTTGACAGCATGGATCTATTTAGCTCAGAGTCTCAGCATCAAAGGAACTGTTTGCTAGCTACCTGTTTTTATAGTATATGGCCGGAAGTCCATTTGTATGGAGAGGTGACTACTGCCAGCATTATCCGATGGTTGAAATACAAGTTTTCCCGTTTCGGATTACCAGAGGAGATGGTGACGGACAACGGTACGGAGTTTAAAAGCCACGAGTTTCTTTCGTTCCTTCAACTTCACGCTATCTGACACTCCTGTACAACGCAGTATAATCCAGCGGCAAACGGCACAGTAGAGCGGTTTAATCGAACCTTGAAAGAAAGTATCCAAACCATTCGTTTATCTGGTACATGTTGGGAGGATGCAGTTCCATAAGCACTAGTTGTCTACCGAACCGCATATCACCGACACACAGACAAAACGCCAGCTGAACTCACACTTGGGCTTGCTCTTCGGATAAAGTTGAACGCCGCACTTTCTATTCCTGCAACCAATAATTCCGACGAGTTAGATCGCCGCCATCGATATCAGACCACTTACCAGAAGCTTACTACTCCGCTCCAGTCCGGGATATTCGTGCGCGTGAAGGTAAACGCGGCATCAAAAGGACAGCCCACGTTACCAGATCCGATAAGAATAATGCATGCATGTGGGCCAGACACTTATCGGCCGGAGGATAGCCGCACAATCAACGCCCGGAGATTATTCACAAGTATCAGACGAACGGAGCATGTGTCACCAAACTTCACTGACGAAACAACGCAAAGCACGCAACTCCGTAGGACGAGCAAAGAACAAAGACAACCGGATCGATATGGTTTCGACGCATCACATGATTAAGCGGAGAGATTATGCTGTGTATTCGGTCAACATATTTGCCAGCTAGTCTAGAGAGACAAGTGCACACAACCCTAAACACACATAAAGCGTCTAATTCTCTGCTTCCCTATTGGTTCATCCTTCTCTTTGCGACACTTAATGTACTCACTCAGTTAGACATTGAGCAGCTTACAGTGGTTCGCTTACCGGAGTGACCTTACTTCGGCTCGTGCATTTGACCATTCGTATACAACACTTCCATTACTCATATACGTTCCAGAGAGCAACGGGCCCAATGATTATCACTATTTCTGTTGGCACACCGTCAGATTTGTCCAATATCACTTTTACTGCAGAAGCTGTGTTAAACTAGCTGTCGTCCCTGCGTATGCACAGCTCTCCTGGTGGCGATAACATTCGACCGAAGGATCTACAGGCAGCATCCTGTGAGCTGGTGGAACCTCTGGCTAATTTCGATCAGCGTTGTATAGAATAGAACCAAGTTCCAGCAATATGGAAACGAGGGGTCATCATTCCTATTCATAATGGTGGTTGCGCAGATCCAACCAATTACCGTCCCATAACGTTACTACCTATATTTTCCAAAGTTATGGAATCAATCACCGCGAATGTACCGATACCGTATCTGTAAAAACACAACACAGTAACCCCGGAGCAACATAGCTTCCAAGAAAACGGCTAATGCGCTACAAGCCTGTTAACTGCGTGCAATAGTTGGATTGAAGCCCTTGATGATGGATCGGGTGTCGATATTATCTACCTGGACTTCTCAAAAGCATTTGATTACTTAGTTCACCAAATTTTCCTCTATAAACTTCAAAAGTATGGCCTTGGTGACCCACTTCTGCGTTGGATAGGCAAGTTCTTGCACAAAGTTCGGTTAAAGGTGATATTAAGGGAACCCCGGTCCGACGCAATTGAGATGGAGTGCAGTGTACCCCAAGGCTCGGTGTTAGGTCCTCAGGTATTCTTGGAATTCGTAGACTATCTAGCGATTTCATATACTTCTCTGTTTGCGATCAGGGAACCAGACGACTACGATGGGCCCCAGCACAAACTTAACACGCTTACGAATTGCTCAGTGCAGAGCACCACAATTCAATGTGAACAAAATGTCGTGCTTTTCAATTACGCTACAAACTTGACTACGTGTATTTGACTGGATCACACATATTGCAAATTACTTCCAAAGAACTGGAAGTCGGTGTGCTCCTACAAAGGGACGGCAACCGCTCAAATAAAGTTGAGCAGGCTTCGAAAAGAAATAATTAGCACGTGGGCCAGCTGCGGAGCGCATTCGGTAGATGTAGCCATCAATCTCCCCAATGACACACGACTCCTACTTGCGCTCTCACTTTGCATACACAATCCAAGCTTGGCAACCTTGGTGTAAGCGCGATAAGGAGGTGCAAGAGAAACGATAATGCAGAGCAACTATGAACATCAACGGCCACGCAATCGGTCATATCAGCAGAGGCTGAAGTCACTGGAAGATTTTAGCGGACGCTACCGGATGCTGCGCGGCGATCTCATATTAGTGCACCAAATACTGAGTGGCTCTACTCATTTATGCCGGGAGTTGCTGAGACTCAGTCATAATACCAATCTCAGAGGTAACTGTCTGAAACTGAGTGAACATTATTACCGTTTGGAATGCCGGCGAAATAATTGTATTATTATTTACCAAACCTGTCTTCCAAACTAAGCTGATTCCTCCTCCAACTTGGATAGTTTCAAAAAAGGATTGGATGCTGTCCTTGATCCCCATCACTACGTGGTTTAAGCTGTCTTACTTTGGAATCTATTAATTAGACCTTCAAGTCAGATTTATATGTCACACAAACCTAAAGTGGCGGTACATGAGTGAGGATACTTGTTTTAAATTTTCGGATGGAGTACATCAACTATTGCTGTCCCATGTTGTCTTGTGGTTTGCATTCAATTCTGATTTGCACTACTGTTACGCAGTCTCACATCTGCTTGATAAATGCTTAGACAGACAATTCATATATATCTTTGACATTGTAGTCTCACCCTTACCATCCTACGGGACTTGTCACGTAACTGCTTTTTTTACTCGTGATACCTCGTTGCCCGTTGTTCATTTGTACTTTGGGGACAGCACCACGAAGCTGTTTTGATCAACCAACCACGGAATGTGTCAATGATAGACGGGTGGATTGCACTTGAATGATGGACTCAACATAAACCTATGATAAATATGGGTTCATAAAAAGAAGCATTTCACAGAGGTTGCTTGCAGACTGATGCCGTGTGCGAACGATGTGCATCCAATATCACTTGGCAGGACAGATGAAGAACGTACAAAAAAGCCATCAATTTGACACTTGCGAAAATAAAATTCAGCTGGGCAGCCAAAAGAAACAATATAGGGATATACACCGTAGGACACCCAAAGTAACTCAAAGGGTGATTAGTGTTGTTGCATACGTGCATAGTGTGTCGTGCATTAAATAGCACCATCTAAGTGGACAACACATCGACACCATAGATGTGGAGCTACTCATTGCATCGCCAGCTTGTTGTATGCAACTCCACAGTTGAAACACACTTGCAGGCGGCTGTAACAGCACTTGTTCTTACACCATCATAGCTTTATTCGAAAGCTTCGGTTCAGCACAGAGTACAAAGGGGAAAATTCTTACTTCCTGTTCCACCTAACACCAGCCTACTCTCCTCGATGGGTTCTCTCTGGGGACTGAGAACTTAAAGCATGGCTGGATTAATCAGAACGTTCCTAGAAAACAGTTAACCTCTGAGCACTGAATACTTGGAGCTACCGGCATCAAAATAGTAAGACTCCACAGGCTTTGCATGTTTAAACATAATCCTTTAGTTCCTATGACCTTATGTTTCATCCGGAGCGGCTTTGGCTGCGATACAAGCTTTGGTTTTCACTCAACACCTGGAGCACTAAAAACTGTCTATCACCAATTCCACTTTGCTATGCTCAACCAAAGCTTAGCTCAACAAAGATTACCGCTGTAGCTGTTCTTGTGGCACAACAAGCGTCAGTGATATCTTCCTGTCCGCAAGAGCTCAAGATGGGCTGTGGTATTTTATGCAATACGTACATGCATTAAAACGCAACTGCGAAATGCATTGCGTTCACGATGAGCATACCTCAATTCGACGACGTTCGTGCTGCAGTTCCGGTAGAAGATTGGTGTAGGACGTTGTTCTCAACGGCGAATGATATGACGTACCAGTGATCACGGGTGGGTAGTAATAACTGTAGCGTTTGTATACTGGGGTTGTGGTTGTTGAATACTGCGTTGTCAAGACGGGCGCAACCGTACGTCCAGTCTGCAGTAGTGGAAGAATGATAAGGTAAAGGAAAAGCTTAATCAGGAATAGTGGAATTCATGCAAATTGAACAGTGGAAATCATCTAACGACTGCGGCACATGTCGCGTGGTGTGTGAGATGCGGGAAATGACATTATGTTATCACTGATGGATCCGCTTATGGGTTCGCGTTCGCAATTGTAGGGCGAGCGTCACTGTGGCATGACAGTGAAAGGAGAGGCGTTATCGCAAAGAGCCAGTTAGCCTATTTCGTAATGGGAGTTGTAGCTGAGTGCGTCGGCCTTCTCCAAAATCAACTTTGGAGATTTCAGCCTTGACACCTGAAGCAACCCTTTGTTGGTCCCCTACTCCACTGATACTCGGATCTTCTAGTTGTTTGTATCTACTGAGAGATAAGGTGACATGCACTGAGTTTCTCGCAGCATTTCAGATTCCATGCAACCCACTGACACACAAGCAAATAGTTATTGCATGATCGTCCGCAATCAATGGTGTATCGCAAGGATCTATTCTTGATCTGCTGTTGTTTTTGGTCTACATCAACGATCTCCCTGTAAACATTCCCTATCGGTGGAACTATTTGCAGATGACGCTAAGATCTGGAGAGTTATTCGCTCAACATTCGACTGTGCCTATCTTTAGAACGACCTGGAACGAATTTGTGAATAGGCAGAACTAAACCTATTCCCCTGAACCATGCAAACTGCCACATGCTGACACTGCGCAGCCGTTTTAACAACACATCTTGTGCGGCAGCAGGTCTTACAATACGTGACTGCTGAACGAGACTTGGGAAGTATCCTTTAAGAAAGTCTTGGCAACTCACTCTAAACTTCGTGGGTAACAAATTGGGTGAACTTGAACTTAAGGCTATTGAGGCCAACCCGTGGTGCCCTTGAGTGACGTCTAATATCCCTGCTGACTAACGTAGATTCCTCCCCATGTTGAGTGTGCGGTTCAGGCCTAGCGTCTTTTAAAGTAACCCCGACGAACAGCCATCAAGACAACACGTGTACCATGCGGTCTCAACTGTGAAATGCGCCCACGTTTAAATGGTATGTTCTCCTCAGAATACCGACTTCTACGCGCAGATCTCATCTTCACATACCGGCTACTAGCAGAAAACGATCACACATGTAGCTCACCGCTGACCCTAGCCCCTTACATACAATGATGAGTTCAGCACCTCAAACTAGCAACTCAACACTCCCGATTGGATTACAAATGGTTTTACTCACTTACAATCTATTCAGAATGGAATGCATTGCCATCTTAAGCAGAGAACGCACTAAACATCGTGACACTAGAAAGACTACTGGACTTTAAACTTGTTGATAAATGCAACACAAGAGTAAGACAAAGTGTAATGTGTATACTACCGACGGAACACTTTGATTTTTCTTTTGCTTGCATTTGCCATCCTGTGGGTGTTGTGAATTCATGCTTTCTATCCTACCACACACTGCGGAGCTACTGAACTATCAACGCAAGCATTTTCAGGTGCATCTGATGTGTCGACTCATGTTCGATGGATAACCGGGCCGAAGAACTCATACAAACAGTATTTATGGCGTCTAGTAATCCTCCTGAGTTGGACTAGTATCCACTCTCTTGCTCATTTTTATTGTAGCGCAGCTTTAGAGTAGCCTGTTCGAATGCCATTCCTCGCTCAACTAGACAAATTACGCAATATATTACGAAATTGTGGCTTGGTTGGAGCAGCTTCGCCATACCCACTAGAACTGAGGAGACAGCAGCGTACCTATCTGACATCGCACTTTTGGTAAACGTGATACGACTAATGGGTGCACTGAACTGATCATTACAGGCTCTCACAAGTTAGGGTTTCAAAAGTTGAGCATGCTAGTTTTAAGTCTCCTTTAAAAGCATGTAATTTATGCAAAAGCAAACTACTAAGTTTCTGTAAGACTGTGTTGTAGCATGATCCCAACCTCAATCATACTTGAACCAAATCATTTGGTGTGCCACCCACAGTTGCTATCGCTAGAGCGGCACACAAATTCTCCGCTTTGATGAAGTACTAATTTGTTTCGAACGTACGTAAGAAGAGAGATAGTACGGTGTCTCCGTTATGTAGCGATTCGTTTTGTAGTACGTCCGTGGGTAGACTGAGGATGTGTCAACATCTGTGGAATAGTACAACGGTCGGTAGCCACCAACTGGACTAGGTGGCACTGATCCAAGCCGGCTTGATGCAATCGGCCTTCGGCGGCTGACGGTAGACCGAACGATCCGAGGAAATTGCTCTTCCTGAAAAAGGTAGAACGAAGGCAGCTGCAGCTTTCTTGAGCCAAGATGATACTTTAAGCAGCGGGAATAATATTTAGGCAACAAAGAGAGCAGTGCACGATAGTTTGGTTAAGGATAACATGCCAGAGCACAACTATATCCATGCTTCTAGGGTACCGTGCAGTACTGGCTCTACATGCCGCATGCGATATAGTGGCAGTAGTAGACCGACAAACAACAGAATGCAGCAAGCAACTGTCTCTTTCCTTCTTCTGTCAAACACTGCATCCGATCTATAAAAGTACACGGGTTCTGTGAAGGCGTCATAATTCGGATAGCTCCAATCACAGAGGTTTCATCTCAGTTCACCTCCTCTCGTAACGATCTGTTAACTCTATCACGAAAGCCTAAATCACCGTTACATGCATCGTAGCCACACACACAAGCAACATCATTCGCTCTTGGTTGCTTACCAAAAAAGACGTTTAGGTTCACTGATCAATCAAACTCACCCGGGAGTTTACTTTGCACGATATTCGCGCCTAGTACCACAATCATTATATGTACAACTTTGGTAGAATTAAAACATTGCGCACCTCGGGAAGTTTATAGCCTCGTTCCGTCAGATGCAATTAAGTCGTGCCTGAGATGCCACACTAATCTTCCCATACGCTTTGAAAATATAACTAAAACTGAAAGATCACACCAGGTGTTTGGAGTAATTACGAAGTAACAAGTGAAGTCATATAACCTTTTCCCAACAGAGTATACATACGAAACCACATTTCCAATCTACAATCATGCAGCTTTGCGTGATGCCCACAATAACATACACAAAATTGACCACCAACATTTCCAAGGTGAAAATCTTGCTATGCGGCTTACGGCTGAGCAAACTTAACTAGCATACTATTTGTGTGTTGTGAGTTTAGGCCGCGATGTTAAACCCGTAAAATGTCCGTTACGTTATATTTTGGCAACGGGAGCTCAAATCGCCGAAGCTGAACTTGAACTGCAAAAATACCGCTGCGTATAGCCTCCAGTCCATCAGTACTTACACCTGGTAAGGCATGGAAGGAATTCTAAATGAAAAATAAAATGGGCACGGGCAGTCGAAGAGGACTGCATTTATTCTCCAAGTTCTTGTTAGCAAGACTTCAACACACAGCATTCTACATAAAATCCGAGTGAGCCTGAGAGCGCATACGTATTTAACGTGCCATCTGACGTAGTTTAATGTCGAACGGATACTTTTCGCGGCCGCGTTCGTAGTGAACAGCAAGAAAACAACAGATAATCCCATGTAATGAGCATAATTAATACCGTCAGTAGTTAACTCGATTATATTCAACAATTGCACAATGCACGGAGTCCGCTTGGTAGACACCGTTCACGGACACGAATTCTTTGGTATGCGTTTGAACTCATGAAGAGTATTTAACCAAATGAAATCTAATTGTAAAACAGTTTTAGTCGTTCTAACGGTGAGACATTCTGACATTGTGAAACACTACTCGGATAGTTAAATTTAACGTTGCAAGTTTCCAGTTCAATTACAATGTAAGCCCATGCTTTGGATGCTATCGTATGCGTAACCTTACGCCAAGAACTAATACACCTTAAAAGCGAAAATTTCCCTTCTCATGTTTGCAACAATTTTCCTTCGGAGAAGCTAGGGACGCTGAACAAAGCAACTGCAAGCACAGTGTCGTTTGAGAATGGCCTACCTCGCACTAAGATAGTAAACGACAGAGCCCCTTCCGGTTTAGAACATCATGATTGGCTGAAGTCATGTTTGCAGTGTCCTAGACTAATGGTTGGCGGCATCCGGTTTCGGATTTGCCTGTCACTGTGGCAAGCCACAGGACGCCTGCGCCTACAGAGGGACCATGGATGGCTTGCGCTGCACCACCCACAGCTCCAACCACACACCCCATGTCCAGTGTAAATCCGAAGGAATAAGACCGGGAGGCATGCGGATGGGAGCCACGTTTCATCAACGGAACCGGTCCACACTCCTTCACAGGCAAACACAATCACACTGTATTTGGGGATCAAGCGCACACAAAGCGGTGGCTGGACAGTAGTCCGTTCCACACTGACTGCATGGAACCACTCTTTGATCCTAACACGGCCACAAGGACCGTGTACCCCGTCTCCTCCAGCAACGACCAACTGTCTCCTGGATCCAGATGGACGAGGTAGTGGGTAATAGACAGGTAGGCACCTTGTCAACATGCACATCAAGCGCATCCACACCGGGGATATCAAACAACAGCCAAACACTTGAGAGAGAGAGAGAGAGAGAGAGAGAGAGAGAAAGAAAAATGATACCTAGGCTACGTACACAAGCATCACAATCGGCTATTCAACAACAAATAATAGACTGAGGCAGTTTGGCGGCGTGTACTTGCCGGAACGAGAATCAGTAAACAATAGCTTGGTATTTTGGCCAATCTTATCATAAACTGTGCCAAAATTACTATTTGATGTGATCTAAAAGTTTGTTTATCCTAAATGAACCAAAAGAAGGTATCCGCTTGTCCAGGCAAGAGTTGTTGGCGTTATGATTTTTTCTTTAATTCAGCATCATGAAAAATATTTACGAGCTGAAACGGTGATTCTAATTAAACATCCGGGGCACTACCTGTAAAGTATTTGCTTAGGTGGAAGTTAGTACACCTGATCATAGTGATTCAGATAAGCTTAATATAATGGAGCAGCCGGACACGAAACCACCACGGCTAAGTCGGTTTGGAAGACGTTTTGTCTTTGGTAAATTGTGATAGAACCTACCACCTGATTTACCGCAGACGCATAGAGGATAAGTTATTCTGATAGATCACGTGGACGCCTAAGACCCAAGTTACATTTAGCCGATGATGAATCAGACACATCCTTCTGGGTCATGATTTCATCCACACGGCAGAGTTCATAAACAATAGTACAGCTATGCACCCTACCAACGGTTAAAAAGGAATAACAACATGAGACAGCATGTGGTGTACAACATCCGCCGTACAGGCTAACTAAGCTGGGGGTAAGGATGGACTGAGGGATGCGACCGGTAGACGTCAGTGAGCACGCGATTGGTTTGGTCTTCCGGTATCAGTCACCATTTGCCATGGGAAGTTTCCCGGTATTTTTTCTCTATTCCCTTAGACAGTTCGGTATTTTTGACAACCGAGCAAGTGGTGCGTAAAAGTGCACATGACTGCAAAAATGTTTCAGCTGAGCTGTGCAGTTGATTGCAGTGTACTATTTTAGGCCAAATGTTTTATTGGGAAGAATTTGGTACCGGCAGGAAGATACAAAGCGCGTAGGCAGCAGGCGGTGCCATGTTGCCATAAATAGCTAAACACAGCGACGTTTCTCACTAAAGCGACTTATTAGACATGTCGTTGCTTGGTTACTCTTGCTTCCTGGTCGAGAATGGTTAACAAGCAGACGATAACACAGCAAAAAATGCAATTAGGATTCCATTCGCTGTCAAATGGAGGCTGCTGGACTTAGCGCAAATCGATGGAAAGGACTATCAATCAGCTTCGGCCTATCTATTGTGGATGATTTGGCTGTTTATCCCTTGGGCACAGTATACTACTGCATTTGCGTGTAGATTTCTGGGGTCGAAGAGGTGGAGAGATGTGTGTGCTTCGGACATAACAAAATCTAGGGAAGATAAGAGAAAATATATCAGAATAACATTTGACAAGTAAGTTTTTGTTTTGGCAGATGAACAAGACGCTTCAAACAGTTTGCTGGCTTTCACGGATGGTTTTGACTTTTTTATATTACATACACTTATTACCACAGATAAATGCAAGAAAATTTCGCCGCTAACGCCGCAAGATTAACAGTTTGCCCGAGTCAATGCAACTACGGAGCGGTGTGCAGCGTAAAGCGGTGTGCAGTGTAAAATCGAGACTTCACTCTGAACAAACGTGACACCTGGCTGAATGGGATCAAGTATTCTGTTTTAGCAAGTTACTCTTGCACGTCAAAAGCTGATCACCTTGTAACAAGGAATCGATCACTACAACCACTCGGGAATAAAGTCGCTAGTCCTCTTCGAATTGCCTTTCATTCCAATCACAGACTGTTGATAAGTTCAGAATAGTCAAGTAGGACCCCCAGTGCTTTGAAGTATCTGCGGTGGATCCCCTTTTACGATCTTGTCACTACGAACTCTGAATCTCTCCTAACGACACTACAGAATCCGGCCTACTAAACTGGACAAGAGATATCACCCGCCTGTTGTCTTTCAGTGGTATCCGGCTGAGAAATAAATAAATAAATTGTATATTCCTCGACGATGCGAGAAGCCGTTCCCGAGAAGGAACAGATCAAATAATGGTAAACGGTTCCATGAAATTGCAGTAATACTTTTTCAGAAATAACCTTGGGCGCATTTTAAAATTAGGTAACACAAAGTAATCAGAAGCGTTCTGCTATTTTTCTTGTCATTGAACCTGGATTCTTCGCAATCACATGTCAGATGTTTGGGCAGAGAAAAAAGGAAATGAAATGTAAGGGGCTGTTGTCCGAAGTGTCATGTGTATGTGTTTCCAAAATTTATTCAGACACCATCGATACCGTTTTCGAAAGCGCTATCTAGGGACTGATATCCCGAATATATCAATCACATTTTGGACGATTAACTGCTTACTAATCGCAAGCTTACAATTGCAAAGGGTATAGCATGTTCCGATTTCACTTGGAAGTTTGTTCCAAATCTTTGAATAGTGAGTTAAGAAGAAACGTTCTCTGATTCTCGTAGTAAATTTTGAAATCATGAACTTTACCTCTTTGTTACGTATTGGATATCTGCTGTTTAAAGATTTGCGAACACCGTTTTCAAGACTGCGAATTTGACAATTTATGATCCTGTAAAGAAAACATAGGTTCAGCTTCATTATCCGAAGCCAAATTGGGTCAAATCCAAGTTTATCACATCGCTCTCTGTATGTCAACTTTGAGGAATATCCACATAGTCTTTTCATGAAGCGTCTCTGCACCCTCTC